GTTTTGATTCTAGCAAAAGCCGATTGAATCAAGAGTATTTTTTCTTGTCAATGTTTTCAAGAGTCTGGACTCCAGATCCAATGTGTTTTTTTTTCCTGTGTACACCGATGGTACCAGACAAAGTTTGAGTAGAAGCATTACGATACATGCTTTCTCTTCAAAATTTCACGTAGAACAGGATTTGTGCAACGAGAATAGCTGAAAGTAACTCTTAACCAAGATTTAAGGTATTTCCACGCATATGTTTCCATGTTGCTAACTCGGCGGAGTCCTCATTCGTACAGGGTTATTCAAAAGTTACGCACCACTGGCCATAACTTCAGTTCTAATTATGACATCGATTTGCGGTTTGTGGCGTCCTTCCTCATATCGAAGGGGAAACTTTTTGAGGTACTTTTCAGTTCTTCACCCCCCCCAGGGGGAGGGGGGACGGGGGGCAACTCAAAAATTTCAAATGGCAACCCCCATCATGTGATACATCGTTAGAAAGAGCATGAAAAAAGAAAATTTTTGGCGCAAACCGGAAGTCAATCTGACCCTCCTGTCAAAAGTTAGGGGGGTCCAAAGGTTATTTAGGGGGTCCGTACCTTCATTTTTTAGAGTAGCTTCGGCGGCTCTTGGACATACCGTTTCTCTTTTCAAAGAGTCCTCGAATACTCCAAGTCTGATACCGAAGTCTTCATATTGCCCCCGGGCCACCACAGTCCCCCCGTAGGGGGGGATGGGCCTGTTACAATGAAACATTGCATTAAAATGCGAAAAGTCACAGAAGAGCTTCAAACTTAGCATCAAATCCGAGTGGAACTTCTTGCCAATGTTAACACAAACGCAACCTGCGACTTTAAAGTGAGTTTTCAAAATTCTTAGCCCCCTGCCCCCCCCCCCTCATTTTTGGTTGCAGAGCGGGTAAAAACCGGGAGATTCACTACAAATAATGCCCGAAACTAACGTTCAACTTGAGGAGGACCCTTGAAACGTTGCGATCAGTCGGAGCATTGAAATACAAGGACTGCCACCCCATTAAAGTACGGAAACATCCAAAACACCCCCGCTGCCCCCCTCATTTTTCGTTGCGGAGCGGGTAAAAACCGGGAAAATCGCCAGAAATGATGCCCTGGCTCTTACCAGCTCTGCAACGAAAAAAGAGGGGGGCAGCGGGGATTTTATGGATGTTTCCGTCCTTAAAGTGGGCGGCAGTTCCTGTGTTGCAGTTCTCCGACTGAGCGCAACGGTTCAAGGGTTCTCGTCAAGTTCTACAGTGGTTTCGGGCATCATTTCTGGCGATTTTCCCGGTTTTTACCCGCTCCGCAACGAAAACCCGGCAGCGGGGGTGTTTTGGATGTTTCCGTACTTTAATGGGGTGGCAGTCCTTGTATTTCAATGCTCCGACTGATCGCAACGTTTCAAGGGTCCTCCTCAAGTTGAACATTAGTTTCGGGCATTATTTGTAGTGAATCTCCCGGTTTTTACCCGCTCTGCAACCAAAAATGAGGGGGGGCAGGGGGCTAAGAATTTTGAAAACTCACTTTAAAGTCGCAGGTTGCGTTTGTGTTAACATTGGCAAGAAGTTCCACTCGGATTTGATGCTAAGTTTGAAGCTCTTCTGTGACTTTTCGCATTTTAATGCAATGTTTCATTGTAACAGGCCCATCCCCCCCTACGGGGGGACTGTGGTGGCCCGGGGGCAATATGAAGACTTCGGTATCAGACTTGGAGTATTCGAGGACCCTTTGAAAAGAGAAACGGTATGGCTAAGAGCCGCCGAAGCTACTCTAAAAAATGAAGGTACGGACCCCCTAAATAACCTTTGAACCCCCCTAACTTTTGACAGGGGGGTCAGATTGACTTCCGGTTTGCGCCAAAAATTTTCTTTTTTCATGCTCTTTCTAACGATGTATCACATGATGGGGGTTGCCATTTGAAATTTTTGAGTTGCCCCCCGTCCCCCCTCCCCCTGGGGGGGGTGAAGAACTGAAAAGTACCTGAAAAAGTTTCCCCTTCGATATGAGGAAGGACGCCACAAACCGCAAATCGATGTCATAATTAGAACTGAAGTTATGGCCAGTGGTGCGTAACTTTTGAATAACCCTGTATACTACTCATCCACTTAATGTGAGAAGACGTAACACTCCCCAGATATTATTTTGTAGACACATTTCCCGCAGACCAAACGAACAACATTTTGCAATCAGGAACCACATTTTCTGCCTCAACCGTTAAAACACTCATGCGCATAGGGCACATAATGGTATGCACGTTGTTTATAAACCAAGCCCGAAATTTTAGTTCTTGATTGAATCAATGAGAACGAAAACACACCATCTCGGTGGTTCAAAACTATGGTCAATTTTCATTTAAGACGGTCAATTTTCCAAAAAGTCATTGGAATTAGCGCATCCAATCCAACTTCGACCTTTAAAAGTGTCCTTAAGTACGTGTCTTTCGGCATCAAAAATCTTTATCTTAGACTAACTTCTTCGCCTACTCTGCAGGTTTGTGTTTGTCTTGATTACTTTCATTTTTTGGAGTTGGTGTGTTTTCGTCCTCACTGGTTCAATTGCAAAATGAATCAGTGAGAACGACAACACACCAACTCGAAAATATGAAAATAACCAAGACGCACGAAACTGCACAGTAAGCGAAGAAGTTGGTTTAAGAAACAGATTTTTGGTGCCGAAAGACAAATCCTTAAGGACGCACTTCTCGGCCTTAATCCGTGAAAATTTGTAAGCCCGAGCATGGATGTCTACCTAACTCCCTGATGTCTTCGGAAAATAAATAGTGCCTATAGATGGCTGTAGATTCCTAAAGAAATAGAAGCCACTAAACTCTCAATAAAAAAAAAAAAAATAAAAAAAAATAAGGACGCACTTTAAAAGTCCAAGTTGTAACAGATGCAGTAACTTCAATGACCTTCAGCAAAATTGACTAACTTCGATGAAAACTAAGCCTTTTCGAATTACCGAGTGGGTGTGTTTCGCACGCGCAGTGATTCAAATATAGTCCACATGCCAGAAAGTCGATATAATTAGACGCTCCTTCCGTCGACTATTCCACTTCAGATTAAAAGACTGGAAAGCGCCGTAGGCTAAGAATGATCATTTTCGTTGAGACCGTCTCCGGGGAACGCTGGAAAGGTGAATTCAATTCACTCGGAAAGATGAGCCCGCGGTCGGGCCGAACGACGGATTTTTACATCTGCTCGTCGGTTAGCAGACAAAGATGCGATCCCCGATTATCCCGAGGGCACGAGCGGGAGCGTGGGCAAGTGGGCGAGGAGAAGAGAAGGTGTCGGGAAATACATGGCTGGACCTCTTCACAGTCGATTGAGCTCCCCTCTTCCTTTTCTTCGGCCCTGCGGCCTTGGTCGGGGACGGAGACGGGAGCGCCCAAGAAAAATCGGAGAAATCTACTTAGAACGCTAACCTCTGCTCTGCTCACCCACCGCAGCAGCAACGACCCTCTTTAGCGGGCCGTGCATCACGCGTCCGGGCACCCATGTCGCCAGGTCTGCTTAGAGTACCTTTATAGGGAGAGTAAGGACAATTCGAAAATTTGGAGGTTAGGTTTGATCAGATCATAGCTATTGGGGCCCAAAAGGACTGCCAACTTATGAACTCGAATGGACCACTAGACAAGGTACGAATTGAAGCAATGTGATATATGTTTCGTAACTAGAATTTTACGTAAAACACGATTCCTACAACGAAAATTACTGAAACCAACTTTCAACGAAGATATTAACGTTTTTATTACACATTGGTTACGAGGAATTTGAACTGCCCGCTCACGAGAAACTCAAAGCTCTACGTGAGTCAAATCGCGCACTACAACGGTTTCAGCAGGCTTCTCAATGGATCAATGTTCATTTCCCACCATGTGTTGTTCAAACTATAAGCAATTTGCTATAGCTGAGCCAAAGCGTCAAGATCGAGGTTGCCAGATTTTCATATCGCAGAGACTGTCATGATAACGTTTAGCGATCGATGTGAATCACGTATAGCATTGAGTTTTCATGAGCGAATGGTTTGAATTCACGCATTAAGAATCATTAAATATCTTCGTACAGTATTAATTTCGATGTGCGGTGAGCGCATCGTGTTCTACGAGAAATTTTGGTTAAGAAACATGTATCAGAATACTGAAATTCGTACCTTGTCTAGTGGTCCATTATTTTTCAATCATTTTACCATGCCAATATATCTTGTAATATATTATATGCATCATCTTCGTCATTTGTCACTTGACGGTCAGTGGCGAGTCGTGAATGACCGATTATCGATATGCCTCCATATGAGGCTGTGGTACAGAATCGATTATCAAGCGAACACCCTGTTTATCGATCCTTTTCCATAGGTTTAAACGGCAGATCAATCGATGTATCGCAAAGTACGCCCCGCCCGCCACTTTTAACGGTAAAACTCCCAAACCGCGTATCTCGGTTGGCGACTTTGCAGACTTTTTTTCATAATTTTCTTTTTAATCGGAAAACTAGTCAACATTAATTCCTAGAAGCTTTTGCGATTTTCCTTCTCTGTGCGAAGAAAATTCTGAGAAAATTTGAAGTAATTATGTTGACTTGTTCTCTCTTAAGAAAGTAAAATAACATTGCAAAACACCGTAAACGAAATTCGTGGTACGCTGCCGTGCTAAGGAAGAACGCCGTATGAGCATTTGAGAGTTGCCAAATTTCCCTTGATGAAACATGTATTTTTGACAACATTCGTGCATAGTTTTCCTTCAAATTTTCAGGTATTTCAGATTAAATTGCGTACGAAACTGTCTGAAATTTTTAGTAAATAATATCCGCAAAAGTCCCAGTGAATTCGATTTTTATCGGAGGAAACTTGGCAACGCCTGAAGGCTCATACGGCGTTCTTCCTTAGCACCACATAGTACGAGAGTTTCACCATTGACATGTTATCGTTTAAATCGCCGGCTGTTTTCCAGTAATATTTACCTTTTTTATATCATTTACAATTGATTGGATTTTGTTACAGCCTGCAACAGGACGTACTATGGTCAAGTTGGTCGAACTTACGAGTTGGAAATCCGGCGTCCACGGGAGGACCGACTGCCCCTTCTCTGCTTCCTCAACTTCACTGCCGCTGGCGGAAGTCTCGGTGACTTAGTTCAGGTGATTACCAACCTCTCTTCCGTTGTCCTCTGTCCAAGCGACAAATTAATCGACTGCTTTTCAAAGGGCGGATGTTCAATTTTGTAAAACTTACGTACTCTGCACATGACAGATGAGGGGCCTGGAGGACAAGGAGCATGAACGCAGGTTTTTGCCATTTCTAGAAATTCATACGTATGCATATGTTTTTGCCGTTTCGAGAAATACGTGCCTGAAGTTTGAAAATTACATGGATCCTCATGGCGGAAAGAAAGTTCAAACAGATTTTTTGATGATTAAAAATTGAAATTTGGGAGCGAATGTGTCATAGAATATGCATTAAGACTAGTCTTAATTGAAACAATCAAATTCTTAATTTTTTCAGAAACTTCACGTATGTGCGTTGTCCTCTAAGCCCCTCAGAAAATTAGAATAGAGAATTTGCACGAAATACTATTATCGTTGCATCTGAAAGTGCTCAGGGAGCTGTGTTTACAGTATTTTTCATAATTTGTTTCTGATATGGGAAATTTCAGGAGCATATAGATACAAAAGTGAGAAAGTATGCCGCCTTGTTACGTCATTGAGCGGCACTTACCATTTTATCACATGTGTAATAGGAGATCAGATCCTTTGGTCATAATTGGTCAATCATTGTTCATTTCAGGAACCAAGGACATTCTCTTTCGCAGTTCACACAGTAGTGTCTGCTTAAACATGAAATTTACAAAATTTCAGAAACCTTCAAATACCTATATTTTCAATGTACAATAATAGATGAGCGGTCATTCCGTGTCGTGTGGTAGAGGTCCGCGCCGATAGCAAAATTGAGAGATAATTAATTGAAACCACCAAAAAAGACTGAAAAAATGTTTATCAGGCTCTATTTGTAACCAAAGAGCAGAAGTTTGGCCAATTTTACATCGTGTTCGTAAAACATTATCATTTAGTTGCAAAGAAAATCGCATAAAACAGACGTATTTTCAATTTTTGCCCTCCAAAAATTGGTCTCCTCCGTGTCGTGTATGAAAATGCCGCATTTTAGTGGTAAAAAAAAAACGCGACGGATTACCGAATAAACGGAAAATCTGTGATCTAACTTCTATTGCTCTTGACCGCGCTTTTTGAACTGGATACCTCAAATCGTAGCTCCGGTTTGGTCTGGCATTTAGATCTCTTTTTGTGCTAAAATGTTCGTAGGGCAGACCACGGCGCATGTGCGTTTTTTGAAGTGACGCCATGGCTTATTGTTAGCAGCCCGTATTAATTCGAAAACGTGGCTCAGGAGGTTCAGCTATGGCTGCTCGTAAACACAGGTTCTGTTATCCGAAACCGGGTGCATAAATAATTGCTCGTTTTTCATCGAAATTATGATCAAATACCGGTGATGGTGGTTAGCTTTGTTCCGCTTGTTTACAAATGGCTTGATTGTTTTGGGGGGATTCGCGCGCTGATCCATAATCATTTAATATTCTCATCGTTGGAGTAATATGCTCATTTACAGGATGTTTATTGGCAGTTGATAATCTCTCAACATTTTTTATGAACCGTGAGCCTGCCTCTTTCTCATTGCATTTTGCCAATATTCTTTGAATCAGACAAAATATATTTTGGAGATCCCCCACGTAATTTGCAAAAATTCGCCCGTATTAAAGTGCTCACTTCGACTTGTAATTGGACTACATTTTGCAATTAGGAACTAAAATTTCCGGCCCATCCGTAAAAACACCTAAGTGCATAGGGAATCTAATGGTAGGTACATACATCGTTTCTAAACTGAGCCAGATTTTGTATTACCGCAATTCCAATCACGCAAATGTCACGCTTAAGACGTTGCTAATCAATTATTGTCATTGGGCGAAAAGTAACCTTGACCTCCGCATTTATCTACTGCTTCAGCTAATTTATAAATAATCTATAAATAATATAAATTCTATATTGTTAGTGCCGGTCCTTTTGAATATATTGCCTCGGATTCCCCAGTAGTGCCGTGCAATGGAAATATTGAATTTAAATTGCGCTCAATATATGTAATGAAATTGCAATATTTTCACATAATTTGGTCAGTAAATTCCAATTTTAAACGACCCGTAAGACGAGCTGTATGTGTCATAATGATGGGCAATTTGAAATGCGTAGAACATTTTTGCAACTTATTTAAACTGTATTGCAATCAGTTTCAACGAGAGGTTCCTTTCAGTCAGTAGAAAGGGAACGTACATAACATTTCGACACAGTTGAAGTAATTTTAATGCATAATTGCACTTTATTGCAATCTGTGCTTACTCGGGTTGCAAGTTCCTTTTCTTATTCGAAAGGAAATCTCCCCAGATTGCATGACACTATAGAAAAATAAGAAAATGAGCACCTCATCTTGATCTTTCTATCAGTGGCAAAGCGTGAATGATCGATTATCGATATTTCCCCGTTCGAAGCTATGGTAGAGAATTGGACTGCATTTTGCAATTTGGACCTATAAATTCTGGCTCATCTGAAAAAACACTTATGTGCTTAGGGAAACTAATGGCACATACGTTGTTTTTAAACCGTGCCGGAATTTATAGGTCCAAATTGCAAAATGCAGTCCAATTGATTATTAGGATGTTCGTTGCGAACACCTTGCTTATCGATGGTCTTCCGCAGGCTCCAACGGCAGATCGATCAATCGATATGTCGCAAAGCACGCCACGCCTCTGCTTTTCACCCGTAACTTGAAGATTCGCCTTAGGCCACGCGAAACTGGGATTAGAGACTAGACGAAAAAAGGAAACTTTAAAAGTATCGTTTTTCAAAGGAGACGTCGGAGTCTCTAGAGCACCTGCACACGGGAGAGTATTGCCATCTCAAACCTTTTACTACAGGAATAGTGTGCGCTCTCTGATTGGTCGGCTATGGAGCCCCGAAGTTGGCCCAATGTGAACAAACCCCAGCCAGCCCCTCCGCTCGTAGTTTGGCCCAATCTAAACAAACAAGATGGCAACAAAGTTGTAGACGTGATTATGGATGTGATAGAATTTTTTTTACATCCAACTTCTGAATTGAGTTCGGACCGAACTTCAATGGATATTTTTGCCGATATTTCTCCTTTGAGTGTGATTATCATTCATTTCTCAGCCGATAATACGTGTTTCTTTAGGTCGGGTCGTTTGTTTATGTTGCAGGCAAATAGTCAAATCAGGCGTTTTATCAAATGCCTAGGTAAACAGTCAATTATTCTTATTTAGATTGAAATTCTGATCTTTATGCTGATTTTAGACAAAATAATTCATAGCTCTTGTATAGAAATCTCTATAAAAATGTGTGGCATAGAATAGTATTTTAAACGGTTTTTAGCTCCTGAACGAACATTTATGTTGAAATTCACAGCATGTCGCATAGAACACAACTTTTTTTGAAATTTAATATTTAAATTCACGAAGAGCGTTTGCAGAGGAAGAAAAAAGGAGATCTCGAAGATTTAATGAGTCATTTTTTCTAAAATATTGAAAACGCGTGAGCTTCTCATCATTAATTTAAACAAATTCATAAACTGTCAAAATTTGACTATCTCTCTAAGCATTTGATAAAATGCCTGATTTGACTAATTGCATGCGATATTTACATTGGGCCAACTTCGGGGCTCCATGATAGCCTAAAAGTGATGTACCAATCGGAGAGCGGCACAAAGATGGCAATACTCTCCCGTATAAAGTTACTCCAGGAGTCTCGACGTAAAGAATCTTCCCGTAAAGGGCAGTAGCGCGATCGTGGTGAGCGCTTAAACTCGATTAGGGGCTCAAATCAAATCGGAGTCGATCCGGGAGGGCATAACGCGTGTCCCCGGCCGGTATAAATACCCCAGGCGAGGAAAATAGAAAGCAAAGAAAATAAAAATTTGTCGTGGAGAGTTTAGGAGGGTGCCGAGAAATGTAACCGCTGCGTAGACAAGCGAGCCCGGAGGAAGAGGGCCGAGGGAAAGCAGAAAAAATATCCAGCCGACAAGCGAGCGAATCCGTAATAAAACACATGGCGGAACTTTCAGATGTTAGTTGTTTGATGTTAAGAAGAATAATATTTTTATACCGTCGTCGCTTTTCGGAACGAGAAAATGCGTTTGAAAGGCCGATTACTTAGGTGTAAGCTATTGGACGCTGTCTGCTCATCCGACGCACAGTAGATCGAGTCAATCGGAGGGGTCGGACAAAATTTGGAACCTTTAAAAGCCTAAAACTCCATTAAATCAAAACTTTGAGGTTTTAAAAGTGGTTCCAATGGTTTCTTCGTGATATTTTCCTCTTAAAGCATCCCTGATTTGAAATTTGACGAATTAAACATAAAAATTGGTAGTTTTGGTAAAAAATTTCATGTCCGACCGCTCTGATAGACTCGATCCTTTGTGCGACGTTGACTGAACAGGCACGCTTTTAAGGTCCTTTGGCCTGAGTCGTATTTACACCCGCAACTTGCACTTTAGGGTACTGGAGAGTTATTTTGGAACTCAATTTTTCCCCCATCTCAACAAATTTACTCGATCGAAAAGCTAGTCTTCGCGGACTGAGTTCCTCTTTTGCTTTGGATTGTTAAAAATCAAACTTTTAGATGATCGCCATTTTGAAAGGAAGACTTGTCCTATCTGAAGTACACATGTCTTAGACAAATAGCCAAATCAGGCAATCTCCTAGCTTATTAACTCCAACCCTCAGGAGAAATTATTAACCCCCTTCTGGAGAAAGCTCTGGCCACGCTACCGGGTCAATTGGGGTTGAATTTTCTTTTCTCTATGGAGAAGAATCTTGCAAAACGTTTGATCTCGGAAAAGAACGTGAAATTGCCTTATTTAAAACGCGACTCTACACTGCCGCGCTAAGGAAAAACGCCGCATGAGCATTCAAATGCTGCCAAAATTCTGCTTAACGACTTTTTATTTTGATGGAGAGTAATGAATATTTTTCCTTGCAATTTTCACACTTTATGGCTCGAATCACGAACGAAATCCTCTGGCAACTCGGAAGAGAAATATCAACAAATTCGCCTGTAATTTC